TATTTTCCTGGTTCTGCTCACTTCACTTTGCATCAGTTCCATCTAAGTCTTTCCAGGTTTTTCTGAAAATTTCCTGCTTGTCATTTTTTACAGCACAATGGCATTCCTTCACAATCAGATACCACAACATGTTCAGCCATTCCCCAGTTGGTGGGCATCCCCTCAATTTCCAGTTCTTTGCCAGTACAAGAAGAGCTGCTGTAAATATTTTTCTACATATAGGTCCTTTTCCTCTTTAAATCTCTTTGGGATACAGACCTAGTAGGGGTATTGTTGAGTCAAAGGGTATGCACAGTCTGATTGCACTTTGAGCATAGTTCCAAATTGAGATCCAGAATGTTTCGGATCAGTTCACAAATCCACCAAGAGTGTATTAATGTTTCAACTTTCCCACATCCCCACCCACATTTGTCTTGTCCTTTTCTGTCGTATTAGCCAATCTGATATGTGAAGTGGCACCTCAGAGTTGTTTAATTTGCATATCTTTAATCAATAGTGATTTAGAGCATTTTTTTATATGCCTAGAGATAGTTTTACTTTCTTTACCTGAAAACTGTCTGTTTCTATCCTTTGACCATTTATCAATTGGGGAATGACTTCTATTCTTATAAATTTGCCTTGGTTCTCTATATATTTGAGAAATGAGGAGGCCTTTGTCAGAAGCACTTGTTGTAAAAATTGTTACCCAGCTTTCTGTTTTCCTTCTAACATTGATTGCATTGATTTTATTTGTGCAAAAGCTTTTTTAACGTAATGTAATCAAAATTATCCATTTTGCATTTCATGATGTTGTGTTATCTCTTGTTTGGTCATAAATTCTTCCGTTTTCCATAGATCTTGACAGGTAGACTAAAATTTCTTGCTCTCTTAATTTGCTTATGGTATCACCCTTTATGACAAATCATGTAATCCATTCTACTTTTTACTTCCATTTTATAAATGAGTTTATCCCATTCAGAGTTATGATAAACTAACTATATTTCCCTCTATTCTGCTTTTTACTCCTTGTTAACCCTTCTCTTTCTGTCCTATAACCTTGTTCCTCCTCAGAAGTGTTTTACTTCTGGCCACTGCCTCCCCAAATCCGCCCTCCCTTCTCTTATCCTCCTCCCCTCCTACTTTCCTCTCGGATAAGATAGATTTCTATACCCTCTTTGAGCCAGTTCCAATGAGAGTAAGGGTCAGGTATTAGCTATCATGGCCCTATCTTCCTTTCTACTGTAAAAGCTCTTTCACACCTCTTTTATGTGTGATAATTTACCCCCTTCGACCTTTTCCTTTCCCATTTCTCCCAGTGTATCTCTCTTTCTCATCCCTTTATTTTTGTTGTTATCTTCCCATCATAGTCAACTCATACCTGCACCTTCTGTCTATGTACACTCCTAACTCTCCTAATAATGAGACAGTTCTTAGGAGTTGTAAGTATTATCTTCCCATGTAGGAATGTAAACAGTTTAACCTTACAGAATCCCTTATAATTTCTCTTTCCTGTTTACCTTTTTATGCTTCTTTTAAGTCTTGTATTTGAAAGTCACATTTTCGGAACATGAAGAGGTAAACAGGAAAGAGAAATCATAAGAGACTTATTAAGATTGAACTGTTTACATTCCTGCATGGAAAGATGATATTTATAGTTCATGAGACCTTTGTCAGTATTAGGGTAGTTGGAGGAAAAAAATTATATGTATATGTATGTAGATAGATAGATAGAGGGCACAGAGTGAGCTGAAGATTAAGGAGTCATATCTGGGGAATAAAATTAAGGGATGAGAGAGGATGATACTCAGAGAAGAAGAAAGGGAGAGGTAGAATGGGGTAAATTATCTCACAAATAAAAAAAAAACAGAAAAGAAAAGTCTCTTACAGTGGAGGGGAAATGGGGGAAGGTGAGAGGGAATGAGTGAATCTTATTCTCATAGGATTTGGCTTAAGGAGGGAATGATATACACATTCAATTGGGTATGGAAATCTGTCTTACCCTACAGGAAAATAGGGGGAGAAGGGGACAAGAGAGCAGGGGGATGATAGAGAGGAGGGCAGATTGAGAAAGGGGGTAATCAGAAGTAAATACTTCTGAGGAGGGACAGGGTCAAAAGAAAAAATGGAATAAATGGGAGGGCAGGATAGGATTAAGGAAATAGAGTTAGTTTTTCACAGCATGTTTACTGTGGAAGTGTTTTGCATAACTGCACATGTACAACCCATATTGAGCTGCTTGCCTTTTCAGTGAGGGTGGGTGGGGAGGGACGAAGAGAGAAAATTTGGAACCTAAAGTTTTAAAAACATATGTTTAAAAATATGTTTTCACATGCTACTGGGAAATAAGAAATACAGGAAATGGGGTACAGAAGTCTGTCCCTCCCTACAGGAAAATAGAAGGGGAAGGGGAGAGAGATAGAAGAGAGGACAGGCTAGGGGAAGGGATATTCAGAATGCATGCCATCTTGGTGGGGGCGATGGGGTGAAAATTTGGAACTCAAAAACTTGTGGAAGTAAATGTTGAAAACTAAAAATAAATAAACATATTAAAAAAAAGAAGTCACATTTTCTTTTCAGCTCTGGTCTTTTTATCAGGAATGCTTGGAAGTCCTCTTACATTAAATGTCCAATTTCCTCCCTAAAAGATTAGAGTCATTTTTTGTAAGTAAGTTATTCTCGGTTGTAATCCTAGCTCCTTTGCCCTCCAGAATATCATATTCCAAGCCTCTCTTTATTTTTAGTTTTCAACATTCACTTCCGTGAGATTTTTTTAGTTCCAAATTTTCTCCCCATCTCTCCCCACCCCAAGATGACATGCAATCTGATATAGGTTCTACATATACATACCTTCATATTAAACCTGTTTTCACATTAGTCATGTTGTAAAGAAGAATTAGAGCCAATGGGAGAATCCACAAGAAAGAAGAAACAATGAAAAAAAAAAGATCAAACAATGTGCTTCAATCTGCATTCAGACTCCGTAGTTCTTTTTCTGGATGTGAGCATAATTTTCCACCAGGAGTCCTTTAGAGTTGTCTTGGATCCTTGCATTGCTGAGAAATGAGTCTGTCAAAGTTAGTCATCACACATTGTGGCTGTTACTGTGTACGATGTTCTCCTGGTTCTGCTCACTTCACTCAGCATCAGTTCATTTAAGTCTTTCCAGGTAATTCTGAAGTCTGCCTGCTCATCATTTCTTATAGTTGAATTGTTTCTTTCTGACTGCTTGCAGTATTTTCTCCTTGACCTGGAACCTCTGGAATTTGACTATAAGTTTTCATTTTGGAATCTTAAGATGTGATCAATAGATTCTTTCCATTTCTACTTTACCCTCTGGTTCTAGGATATCAGAACAGTTTTCCTTAATATCTTGAAAGATGATGTCTAGGTTGCATTTTATTTTATTTTTTTTTGGCTAGGCAGTGGGGTTAAGTGACTTGCCTAGAGTCACATAGCTAGAAAGTGTCTAGTGTCTGAGGCTAGATTTGAACTCAGGTCCTCCTGACTCCAGGCCCGGTGCTCTATCCACTGCACCACCTAGCTGCCCTTTAGGCTCTATTTTTGGTCATTGCTTTCACATAGTCCAATATTTCCTAAATTATCTCTCCTTGGTCTGTTGTTTTTCCAGTGAGGTATTTCACATTTTCTTCCATTCTTTTCCCTTTTAATTTTGCTTATTGTTTCTTGATGTCTTGATGTGGAGTTATTAGTTTCCCCCAATTCTAATTTTTAAGGAATTATCTTCTTTGGTGAACTTTTGCACCTTCTTTTCCATTTGGCATATTCTGTTTTTTAAGGTGTTGTTTTCTTCAGGTTTTTTTTTTTTGGTGCCTCCTTTACCAAGGTGACTCTTTTTTTCATTTTCTTGTATCACTCTCTCTTCCCCCCCCCCAATTTTTCCTCTGCTGCTCTTGATTTTTAAAAGCCTTTTTGAGTTCTTTTAGGAATTGCTTTTGAGCCTAACTCCAGTTCTCGTTTTTGAGGCTTTTTGTGTAGTCCTTTTAACATTGTCTTCTTCTGAGTTTGTGTTTTGCTCTTTCCTGTCACCCTAGTGACTTTCTATAGTCAGGTTCTTTTTTATTGTTGTTTGCTCATTTTTCCAGCCTATTTCTAAACTTTTAATTTTGGGGTTAAAAAAAAACTCCTGGGCTGGAGGTGGCACTGTCCCAACCTTTAGATTTTTCCTGCTGTTCTTTTCTAAGCTAATTCTGATGGTCTGTAAGTTTTCATTTCTTCCTGGCCTGTGTGATCTGTGAGATCACAAGCATCTTCTTACTCCCTGGAGCTGTGTCCAGGGTCCACATTCCTGTCTATGCTCTTCTTTACTCTGGGACTGTGATCTAGAACCTCGGATGGGCAGTGCAATAGAATCCTGCTCCCAATGCCAGCGAAGGTTCCCTCTAGAAGCTCCTACTTAGTTGTCTGACTTTCTTATCCTCTGTGGGCTGTTAACCACCATTTGCTGGACTGCGTTCCACTCTCGGCCCTGTGAGACAGACCTTTCCTGATAATATTCTAAATTGTCTTGGGCTGGAAAATTGTTTCATCCCCATCCTTTTGTTGGTTGTGCTGCTTCAGAATTTGTTTTGAGGCATTATTTTAACATTGTATAGAGGGGAATTTGGGTGAGCTTAGGTGAATCTCAGTCTTTATTCCACCATTTTTGGTCCACCCATGAGTAGATAGAATTTTGATATTTAGTAGTGATAGCAACTTCTCAGTAACAGACGAGAATATATTTTTAAAAGGAGGGGTAAATAGATTTTACATGAGAAAAAAAAGTCTTTTTTGTCGTAACTTGTTAGTAATATATACAAATGAATGTTCACACAGAATTTATTGTATTTTTCTTTCATTAAGCTCTTTCCTATATCATTCATTCTGTTTAACATTAGTAATATTTTATTGTGTCATTCCATGCAAATGTTATCTTTCAGTTATTTTGGTCTGTATCAATAATGGTTATATATGAGAGTTGTTGCTAAAATATTGTGCATTAATAGTAAATTCTGATTTTTCAGACAGGGCATTTAGCAATGGAGACATTATTGTCCCTTACTTCAAAGCGAGCAGGAGACTGGTTTAAAGAAGAATTGCGCCTTTTGGGTGGTCTTGATCATATTGTAGATAAAGGTATGCAAGACATAAATTTCCTGTAACATTGAAAATTTTTAATTAGGATCTACAAAGGAATGTGTTTTCACCTTGCCTCTGTAAAGAGCATATTTCTTATTTGAAATTAACACAATAAATTAAATGAATTTTTTATATTATCGGTTTGAAAAGCCCAACTACTACATCATTTACCTGTAGTTTGTTGTTTTTTAATTTCTTAATTAGCAGAAAATAATGCAAATTTTCTTCCTGTTGAAATAAAAATTAAAAAAATAAGTGATTATAACCTATCCATGTTTCATCTTTTAAATGGAGCTGCTATCTGGCCCTGCAACCAAAAATACTGTGCTTGACTGTTTTCCTGCTTATGTTTTGATTTTGCAGGAATATGATGTGCACATGTAAGCTAGGATTGGGAGTCTTTGGGAGTGTACCTTTCAAGACAGACACACACACACACACACACACACACACACACACACATATTTTAGTATATTATGAAATTTGTTTAAAACAGGTATCTCTTAGGACCCTGTTACAAGGGGCTTTAATTTCTGACCTAGCGAAGTAGTTATAAGGTCGTCTCACAGTTAAACCCTTGGATACTGTTAGATAAACACCACTTTTTATGCCTTAAGTGTATAAGTTTTAGAATTCTATATTTTCATGATAGATATATTTTTCCTCCTGTTTTTTTCATAGTAAAAGAATGTGTGGATCATTTGAGTAGTGATGAAGATGAAGAGAAACTGGTAGCTTCATTATGGGGAGCAGAAAGGTGTTTACGGGTTTTAGAGAGTGTAAGTACAAGTTCACTTAGGATAAAATTTTGGGGATAATAACTTTTAATAACTATGCTTATCTTTTTATGTGTAAATTCATCAAAGTTCTTTTTGCTCCAAAGATTTTATTTTTATTTCCAATAATTTGTCAAGTAACTAATTGGCAGTGCATTAAGTGAATGGTTAATTATGGATTGTGTTTTGTGGCCAAAATTGTAAGTCTGTATAATTTTCTTTTAAAACCCATCAGATCTGATTAATAGGCAGCATCATTATAGTAGAATGAGCAGCACTAGATTTAGAATCAAAGGACGTGAGTATAAAGTACCATTACAGTACTTGGTCATCTCCAGCCAGTTACTTCTCTTTATACCTCAGTTTCCTCTTTTGAACCAGGGCATTAAGAATCTTCAAATTGCATATGATATAAGCTAATGGGAAGAGCACTAGAATGGAGTCAGAATAAGAGCTCTGTCCCAAACTTGCTGTTTACAATTTTTTGGGTCTCAAACAAGTTACTTGCTCACCCTGGACCTTGGCTTCCTCGTTTCTAAAATTAAAGGATTAAATCAGATGGTTTCACAGGGTCCTAGGAACATATGTGCTAAGTGGTATCATTTTCTTTCTGCCTTACTTGAAAATGAGTCAGAATGTTGTTTTAAAATAGCTTGTTTGAATTGAACAATTACTGATATTAAAATAAGTTTACTGTGTATGGGCCCAGTGTGATTTATTTTTAAAGTATGTCTGTTAAAGAACACTGTGGGTTATTCCAAAAGTGGTTTATTCTCCTGATTGTTTTACTTGACTAGTTTCTAACCAGCTTGATGTGGGCATAGCACCTTGCACATCAGAGGTGCACTCACACTTAGTAAATGGGCTTTATGAGAATTAAGCTGAATTTTGCCTTATTGCATTTCTGTAGTTTAACAAATGACATTAACTCAGTTTAACATCCACTGTAGATTGGAAAGTGTTTTCAGGGAAGGTAGGTGTCGATAAATTCTTCTGTCCACCTAGATAAATACGTAGCAAAATCAAGTCTGTAATACTTTATTAAGTAATATATCTTTTCCTATCCAGGTAACAGTGCATAACCCAGAGAATCAAAGCTACTTGATAGCATATAAAGATTCACAGCTTATTGTTTCATCAGCAAAGTAAGTCCTCAGATAGAAGACAGAACTTCTTGAATGAGAAGTTGTGGTATGAAAGAATAAATTATGTTGGTTTACTGTTTTAGTAATTTATTCTCTTGTAATCAAACCCAGCAAATGTACTGATAGGGTAAAAACTCTGCTAGCTGTTCTTGAGTCCCGGTTTGTTGCCACTGTTGGAATGGAATTCAGCCCAAATGCTGTCTATACATGTAGCCAAGAGACTGGTTTCAGCTTTGTAAGCCAGGATGAACTGGCATCCAGTGTCCCAGACCAAGTGTTGTAAAAGACTAACTGCCCCTCAGTCAGGCCCCCTGCAAAAGATGAAGATTACCACCAGCCTCTCCGATGCCCCCCCGAGCAGCTATTCCCAGCAGACACTGACATGAAAACAGGCATTTTAGGAAGGTCATCCTAAGAAAAGGGTCAGGAAACAATCTAACAAACATGTTAGGAAATAACGGTTAGAGAGTCTTTCTCAGGATATAGTGGAACAGATTACATCCTTCTGTGCCTTACAGAATATGCTTGCTTGTGAAATGCTTAGAATAACTAGAGTCCCATTTGATAAAATTCTTGCTGCTTGCAGGGTGCTCACAGATGAATTAAATGTATTACCAAGACAGTGGCTACAATGTATCCTAAAATGGAGAGGAACATTATCTCAAAAGATATTTTTGTTCTTTTTGGAAGTGTGGGGGGATGGGTTCTATGGTATCCTTTGTACTAAGTGTTGGATCTATGAGGTAGCATAAGAGTACTTGTGGAAGATAATAGTGAGATAGATCAAGAAGAAGTAATTCTTGAAAACAAGGAATTAGACATATGAACTGTGTAAAGAAGAATCAGACTGATAAAATGACTACTTTTACTATCGGGGGGGGGGCTCTAAAAAGTTAATCTAAGTTTAAGGTAAACCACAAAGTTGAACATAGGGAGAAGTAGAGATCTGTGTTTGAAAGAAATTCAAAGGTATAAGTAATTTTAAAACATTAAAGCGAAATGATTTGTATGGTAGCTAATGTTTTTCTTTTCAGAGCTTTACAGCATTGTGAAGAATTGATACAACGATATAACCGTGCAGAAAATAGCATATGTTTAGCTGACAGTAAGCCTCTCCCGCACCAGAATGTAACTAACCATGTGGGTAAAGCAGTACAGGACTGCATGAGGGCCATCATTGGTGTGTTACTCAATTTAACTAATGATAACGGTAGGTAGTCTTTTTTTAAATGTTTCCTAATTACAGTATACTATACTGCATTTTGCAGGAAAAGCAAATTATTTTCAAAACTGTTTAACGTCTTCACTTACATAGGGATGGGGTACCAGAGAATAATCTGTCAATAAGTGTCTTATGATTAATTACTAGTCATTCTAGAAATAAGGGAATTTTCAGAAGTCCAGAAGATGAAACAGGAATTAGCATCGGCAGTTGATGTCTCATGTTTATTGTTTTGAGTATGACGGAGAGAACATTACATTTAAAAACTTTTAGAGATACTCTTACAGCTTAATTTTTAATATCCATTTGTTGATGTGTTGTTTGTATGAAGGAATAAATGTCTGAAAACTTATACTTACAAAATTCTTTCAGAATGGGGCAGCACCAAAACAGGTGAACAAGATGGTTTGATTGGCACAGCAATGAATTGTGTGCTTCAGGTTCCAAAGTTCCTACCTCAAGAACAAAGATTTGATATCCGAGTGCTGGTAAGATGAAATTCCATTTTTAAAAGCGTGTAGGAAAATGAGCATTTGCAAATAACAGAGGAAAAAAACCTCTCTTTGAAGCCTTGTATCAGTAAAGGGCAACAATGATATTCTTTATATTAGAGTTTCAGTGTGCTTTTTTAAAAAATTCTCTTAAAAAAAAAAAGTAATGAAATATGGACCTAAATTTGGGGCATAATTGATTTTGGTGTTTGATAAAGAAACTTTCAGGGTGTCAAGATATAATCATAATTGTGCTACATTTGGCCAAAAATAAAAGAATGCCTAGACTTTAGTTTTATTTCTCTTTGTTAAAAAGAAAACTTTTTTTTTATTTTTGTAGGGCTTGGGTCTACTAATAAATCTAGTAGAATATAGTGCTCGGAATCGGCACTGTCTAGTCAATATGGAAACATCAAGCTCTTTTGACTCCTTCTGTGCTGGAGAAGGAGATGACAGTTTGAGGATAGATGGACAGATTCATGCAGTTCAGGCTTTAGTGCAAGTAAGTGACAACTTCAAACTACAAAGGATATCTTGTCAATAACTTCTATTACAATGAATAAATGTTATAGAATTTTCTGTACTAGATCTTCCTTCCTTTGTTTACACATTTAAGCATTTTGTGGACTTGAAGTATATACATATTTCTCTTGTTTTATTTTTTCTCTTTTAAATGCTACTTTTTTGCAATTTACCTGTTCTTATATATAGAAAAACTTTGATCTAAAGTAGACAGTGTAAGGGGCAGGTAGGTGGCGCCGTGGATAGAGCACCAGCCTTGAAGTCAGGAGGACCTGAGTTCAAATGTGGCCTCAGACCACACACTTGACACTTACTAGCTGTATGACCCTGGGCAAGTCACTTAACCCCAATTGCCTAAAAATATTATAAAAAATTTTAAAAAAATAAAGTAGATGGTGTGGTTGGTTTGAACTAATAATGTTGGTTTTGGTTTAAATTTGATATTGAGGAGTTTCATTCTCTGTGGGCTAGTCCCAACCTTTTATGTTGTTAATAGGTGTGTATAGTGGAAAGAACATTGGTTTACATCCCAGGTCTGCTTACTCACTAGCTTTGTGATCTGGGGAAAGATATCTCCTCTCTGGCTCTCAGGAATCCTCATCTTTATAAAATGAGGGGGTTAAATTAGGTCTCTTTCACCTCTAAATTCAATGGGTGTGGAGTGGGTTTGTGTGTCTGTCTTGTCTTGGTCACAAGGCAATATTGAGCAAGAAAATTTCAGTGGCTCAAGAAATACTTTAACCACAGCTGTAAGCCCATGGCCTAATAGTGTTGGACTGGCATAATTTTCTTTGCAAAAAGCAGTTGTTTTTACAGTTTTTTGTTTGTGTTTGTTTTTTGTTTTTGTATTTCCCAAGTGGATGATCTATAATGACTAGTTCCCACTAAAACGGTAAACAGTTATTAAATACCTTCTATATGCCTTGTACTCTGATAGACACTGGCAGAAGAAATGGAATACCTGGACCTGCTCTCCACAAAACCTTTACTTAGCCTCAAAGATTATGGCTAAATTTTGATGTTGTTTTTTAACCTAGTTTAACCTGAGAGAAGACAGAAGTCTTTTCCTTCTTTCTTCTGCCCTGCATCTTGGAAATAGCACATAACCTATTCCTTACACCTCTCTCTCTCTCTCTCTCTCTCTCTCTCTCCTCTCTCTCTCTCTCTCTCTCTCTCTCTCTCTCTCTCTCTCTCTCTCTCTCTCTCTCTTCTCTCTCTCTCGCTCTCTCTCTCTCTCTCTCTCTCTCTCTCTCTCTCTCTCTCTCTCTCTCTCTCTCTCTCTCTCTCTCTCTCTCTCTCTCTCTCTCTCTCTCCCCCTCCCCCTTGAGGCAATCGGGGTTAAGTGACTTGCCCAAGGTCACACAGCTAGTAAGTGTCAAACGTTTGGTCTGAGGCCGGATTTCAGCTCAGGTCCTCTTGACTTCAGGGCCAGTGCTCTATCCACTGCACCAGCTAGCTGCCCCTCCTTACATATCATTTAGGGTTTTGATCGTAAGCACTATATGATAAAATAACAACTTTAATGATAAAGGTCTTATCAGTTTTTCTTGATGTTTCCCCACTCACCCAGCAATAAGCCCTCTTAGAGCAGTAAGCAAAATCCAGAAATCTAGTGTTTGTTTTCCCTGACAAGTAGCAAAGGCCTGTAGGTGTAAATTAGATCTTTCCATGAAAAGTGACTTCTAGACTGGTCAAAAGGTCACCTTAGGTCACTCCTTTATGCAAAGGGTAATTGAAAGTTAACAAGTATAGTTATCTACCCATCTTCCCCATCACCCCCCCAATAGTTTAAAACATTTTGTTCTAAATTCAAATATGAAATATAGTTCAATGAGATTTTAGTTTTTAAATTATTACGTTGCATATTGTTGTAGTCAAATCTGAACCTCATAAGAAATTGACATTCATTTTGAATATCATGTTGGTCTTCAGCCACTTTTTAGGAAATGCCAAAAATACCATAACTTTTGGTTATATATTTTTAATATTTTCCTATGTGGAATTTTTTAAATTCAACTAAGGAATTTAGAATAAATATGAACTTGTGTAACCTTAATACCCACATGGCATTTCTTCCCACGTGATCCCCTGAATGAGGCTTTCAAGTTGCAGCATGGCATAGAAAGAGCACTGGACTGGGTGTCATAAGACCTGGGTTCATGTGCCAGCTCTTCCACTTACTAGCTGTGTGACCTTGGGCAAGTCATTTGACCACTGTGAGCCTCAGGATTTTTTCATGTGTCAGATGGTCATAATGATTCCTGCCCTTATCTGCCTTGCAGAATTGTGAGAATTAAATGAAGCAGTGTAAAAGCATTTAGCAGTATAGGAGGCCATATAAACTTATAAATGTCAGGTGTTCCTGTGTCTTGTTGTTCAACATTTTAAATCTTCATACTGAGTGACAGTTAGCAACAGCTATTTGAGAAGAGACCAGTAGGCTCTCCAGCTCAGATACTCATTTCTGTCGTAAACATCAAGGGATTTAAATGGAAGCAGTGGCCCTTCATTTGCAGTATCCTCAAGATGAGGGAGGTGTCCCCCAAATCTCCCTATCCTCCCCTATATAATTTGTTTTGCTGTAGCTATGAGTTAATCTAAATCTGTTTGTTTTCAGACTTATTACCCAATATTCTTGTCCTCTGAAAAAGCTTGGTGATACTATAAAGGAAATTAAGTGGTACTTCCTTTTATGTGTCCAAAAATGAAGCCTTTTTATTGTCAAAAGTTATTATTTTTTTACTTCTGTTTTTCCAGGATTGGGTTTAAATGTCCTTTTTCTCCTTCTACGAACTCTTCCTGGATTTATAAACTGTTTGTCTTTCCAGTTTGAGGCATTCTGATTTCCTTAGTCTCTTCTCACATGGAAGCTAATCCCATCCTTTGGTTAGTTTAGTTGATTTTAACATTTCTAGTTCTGTTATTTCTTTCTTAAGATTTGATGACCAGAACTGCATGTAGTCTTACATTATTTTATATACATGAGGGCTACAGGGCACTGCTTTTTTTTCCCCTTCTTGTTTCTAGTACTCTTGTTATATACTTACTGGGTTTTTTTCCCCCTTTTAATTGTTTCAGCATCAAATGCATTGGAGTTACTGTAGAAAAATCTGCAACAATTTCTAGATCCCTTCTCTAAGTTGTAGCTGATACTCAGGAACCATCATGCATAAACAATTGGGGCTTCTCCCCTACTGCCCCCCAAGTATCTTACTTTATACTTGCTCAAATGGAAATTTGAATACTTTTCTGCATGCTTACAAATTCTTCTAAAATCTTCCTGTAATTTGTCTCCTTTGGTTTGACATCTAACCCTAGGTGGATTTTAATATTTGTCTTTTTCATTGTGTACTTCCTTTTCCAAGCCATTGATAAAAATAATCAATGAGATTGATCCCCAGGGTACCCTAATGCTTCTCCATTAAAGCCCCTATTTATACCTACCCCTTTTTTCCTGTCTTTAAGTCACTTCTCTCTGTCATTAAAACATTAAAAAAACAAACCACTGTTTCAATCCCACCATTAATCACTGTATTTGTAAAAACTAACCTTTGATTAGGGGAACAATACCTAAATAAATTACTTCCACTCGTTTTTCCTTGTCTGTATGTTTATTCCTTCAAAAAATTTCCGTAACTATATCAAGAATAATTTCCTTGTAAAGAAGTCACGTTGCCTTTCTGCAGTAACTTGCCGTTCTCTAAGAATTCCATAATTCTTCTCTTGTCCTGTCCCATTCATTTCATCAGATCTAGGCTTACTTTTCTAATGCCTGTCATGCTTTCTCTTCAAAATTCAGACTTGCAACAACAGAAATCTGTTGGGTCTCAAAAATAACGCAAAAAATAAAGTGATTTTTTGAGAACAAATGAGTGTTGTTGCAGTATGGTAGGCCATAGACAAAGTATGGATGCTTTGTGCTATTTATTGGACAGGAGATTTGTTTTGCCCTGATGTTGTGTATCACGAAGGCAAAGGAAAGTATCAATATCATCATTTAGTATTAGTATCTTCACCATTTAGTATTAGTATCTTCATGGAATAACTTTTTGTTTTTTAAAATAGGAAGTCCCTTAAATGCATGTATACATATATGCTATTAAGTGTGATCTGTTTTTAACTGCTTCTAAACTATTTTAATTAGTTATTCCTCGAGCGTGAGCGAGCAGCCCAGTTGGCCGAAAGCCAGACAGATGAACTGATCAAGGAAGCTCCCACTGCTCAGCATGATAAAAGTGGAGAATGGCAAGAAACAAGTGGAGAGATACAGTGGGTTTCTGCTGAAAAGACAGATGGTACTGAAGAAAAAGATAAAAAGGAAGAGGATGATGAAGAACTTGACCTCAATAAAGGTATATTTTATGCTTTTGAGAGGGATGAGTGTAAAACAGGAATCTACCTGCTTTTTGAAGTTGATTTTTCTAGGTATCTGCAGGTTAATTTTAATCTTTTTCCATTACTATTTGCTCTCATTTTGAAACTTAATTGCCTATTTGACTCTAATATTCCCATACACTTACATAGAACTTTACAGTTTATACTACACTTTCAGGTATAGCAGCATATTTGATATTTACAGCTTTGTGGAATAGGGCATGGCAGATGATAGCCCCAGTTTGTGGGGGGTTTTTTTGAACTAGGGAAATTTAAGGTTAAGATTAAGGTGACTTGCCTAATAGGTCCCTTGTTGAGAATCCCAATCTGGCATATGCATTCTGTAGCTTTTTATTATAACTGGATTCTATAATCAATTTGGAATTATTACTTAATATGACAACTTGGCATTGTAGCATTGAAGTTTGAAATATTTGCTTCACTTTTTTTTAAGTAAACATTTATGTACTTATGGGAAAGAACAACAGGGCAGCTTGTTACATAGAAATTTAAAAATCATGAGGTCTGAGTTCTAGTCCAAGCTCTGACTAGCATGGTGTGCCAATTCCAAGGGAACCACCACCTTCAGTTCGGGGTAGGTGCCTTTTCATAAATACTTTGTCCTGTTTGTTCCTTGTTCCTGCTGTATCTGTTACCAATTCAGACTAGCTTCTAGAGTATGATTAAGGTTAAGTTACAGTCTGTCTCCTTTTGGTAGATGCAAGTATTTCGTTGGGCCTCAATTTTTTTCCTTGTATGAAATGAAGGGATTTGATTAGTAGGTAATCTCTAAAGTTTCCGCAAGGTCTAAAAATGTGATCCTTTTATTGTGGTTTCTTCCAGCCTTATTTGGAAATCCATCCTCATTATCTACTCAGGGGCCAGTGAAATAAACAGGGACAAAATAGGGAGATAATTTCTAGCCTAATTATCTTAGATTCTATTACTCAAGGCCATGCATTTATATAGCTGTGTTCCATATTTAAAGTTGTTGTACAAAATGTAGCTCCTTTCTTTGACTTTTAGGCATAAAACAGTTCTTGTAATTGTAGGAAAAGAAGATAATTATATACTATAATAATAAGAGTTCTTTTTTAAAGGAATACAAGATACTATTGTTTTTTCAAATTACATAAAAATACTTATTTTCAGCCCTTCAACATGCTGGCAAGCATATGGAAGACTGCATCGTGGCCTCATATACAGCGCTGCTTCTTGGCTGTCTCTGCCAGGAGAGTCCAGTAAGTTACACAGTTCAGTTTAACTTTGTAGAATTGTAAATTTATTTTTGGACTGGCAATTTAATGCATTTTATATGCGATTTGAGCTTTTTTGTTTTTTGGCCATTTCATTGTGACAGAGAGAAGGCAAGAGATAATTTAGTTTGTGTGTTACTTTTCATATTTTTGTCAAAACTACTGTCTAGGCAAACTCTGTCCCATAGGTATAATTTTATTAAAAATACTTTGTTAGATTGTTTCTTTTTCTTTTGTAAAAGTAGTTTGTGGATCACTAATTAATAAAATGAGTCATTTATAAACCATAGAATCATCATGTGGAAGATAAAAAGGACTAGAAAACGAGCCACGGAGCTTTTAGAATCATGTCTTATTTGAAATGACTCAAGAAAAAAACTAGTTGGTGTATATCAGAAGTGGGGACTTGAACCCAGTTCTTCACAGGAAGCTGGCTCTCTGTCCACTGACAGCAGGTGATTAGTTGGAAAAAGCCCAGCTTTTCCTGACTGGTGTCGAGCAGACTGCCCACGTCGGGCAGCAGCTGAGATGGGGGTCAGGATGAGGAGCAGATGTTCAGGCTGTTTGATTTTTTTTAAATAGGTCCCAAAGTATGGGAAAGTCTATACTTAAAAGTCAAAAAGGATTCTAATACAGAGCCCAAGCAGAACTATTCAGAAAGGAGGAGGTAATTCTCTCTTCCGTAATTGCAGAGGAAATAGTTTGCAGGAATGTGATTTTCCTAATTGACCATGCTGAAAATCTTTGAGTTACCCCTGTTGAGTTCCATTTCTTAATACTCACCGTGAGTTTGCTCAGTGCTTACAGAACAAAGTTTAAAATTACTTTGCCTAGTATTTGAGGTCTCTTCCCCGACCTTTTTTGCTTGATATTTTCTCAAGCAATGGAACTTCCTGCCTCGATTACTACATGCCCCTACCCTGTTGTCTTTTTTTCCTTCTTGCCTTTCCAGGTCCTGGCCCAACTCATACCCTACTTTCTTTTGTAAGATGTTACCGAAAAGCTCTAGCTTTATGCCCATGTCTTGATAATTATTTGTAGTGTCCGTGGGAGTATCACGAGCTGCTTGAGCTGAGGAACCACACCTCCTGTTTCTTTTTTGCGTCTTGCCTGATGATTAGGCACTTGGCATTTATTTACTGAGTCACATGACCTCTCTCCAGTGAATTGAGCGGTCATTAGTTTGATGTTAACAAAAGGTTTGGGGGCCTTAAGGAGAAGAATGCAGAAGCATTGAATGTCAGCCCAAGCAAGAGATGAACAGAAGAATTGCATTACAATATAAGACATGTTAGCTGAGCACAGGAATGTTTTTGTTTCTTGCCAGACCATAAGTTGACATTTATTAAGCGCCTGCTGTGTGCCAGGGAGGCAGCTAGGTAACACAGTAGATAGAGCACTGGCCTGGAGTCAGGAAGACCTGAATTCAAAGACAGCCTCAGACACTTATTAGCTGGGCAAGTCACTTCACTTCTGCCTGCCTGTGTTTCCTCAGTTACAAAAGGATCACAAAAAAGAAATGGCAAATCACTGTAGTATCTTTGCCAAGAAAACCCCAGATGGGATCACCAAGAGTCAGAAATGATTGAGCAACAGTGACATGTGCTGATAGTGTGCGTAATGCTAGGGGTACAAAATTGGAAGAAATTGAAGGTCTTTTAGAGACGGTGACATTTATTTTACCTGTTATCCAAGCCGCTTCATGTAATCTTAAGACACTATCTTAATTGTAGCAAAAAAGAGTAAATTATAAATTTCAGGGACAGAGCAGAGAAGCCAGTCTTTCTGTGACCTCAAACCTTTACACATCTATTTTGACATTGTCAGGTTTGGGGAAACTGGTTAATAACCACCTTAATTCTCAGGACACTAATTTGTAACTAAATGTAGTATTTTATAACATTAGGGTTTTAAGGTTAGGTATCTCTTAATTCCCATGTCTCAGAATCCCAGGTTAGTATTGGTTACCTCTGAAAAGATTTGTTCCTCTAGTTTTCACAGTTGTTCTCCCCCAAGGGTCTGTACCAGCTACTTTTCCTTTTTCCTTTTTTTTTTTAATTTTTTTTTTAAAATCTTTCAACATACATAGCATCTGCCTTATGAGGGCCATTTTCATTTCCCAGAAATCTTGAGCTGACTAAATATAGCAGGTCTTTTGAAAGTATGTGTGGGTCACGTGTAGAAACTTAAGCAAAACATAATTTTATTTTGTATGTGCAGATAATTGCAAATATTTATTGAATTGAAATGTTTCCACAGATCAATGTGACTACTGTGAGGGGGTACTTACCTGAAGGGGACTTTTCAATAATGACTGAAATGCTCAAAAAATTTCTCAGTTTCATGAATCTTACTGTAAGTAGCATATGTTTAAAAGTGTGTTTTTCCTCTTCCTTTCTTACCGTCTTATGGGCTTTTTAATACTCAAATTGTCGGTGCAGACTGAAAAACTGAGGGCTGTGGTGGGAAATTAGTGGAAACTACAAAGTCGTTGTCCTTTATTTTGACTAATTTTATGTATTGTTTGAATTTTTCATCTTGTAGAATTCTAGAACTCTGCTTCATAGAATATTCATTTTTCTCATCAGGGTATTATTTTGAGGTTGGATTACCTATTTTGCAGTTTCCAGCACAGTAAATATGAAGAAACTACGACTTTTGAATGCTTACTTTCATTCATATCTTTGGTTTCTGTTACTTTCCTGCCCACAGTGTGCTGTTGGAACCACAGGCCAGAAATCTATCTCTAGGGTGATTGAATACTTGGAACATTGCTAGATACTTCATTTCCGCTGCGGGCACTCACTCATGCTGGAGCCACCCTTAGACAAAGGAAGAAGTCATGAAAGAAGTCCTTGAAGATACACCGAGAGCATTCATCTGTGTCATTCGTGTTCGGATTTTAAAGCTACTACCTGGTCTCTTAATCATGCATTCTGCATTTGCTAAATGACAGTTACTACATCAATCTGCAGCTATCAAAAATGACGGGGGAAAGTTCTGATGAAAAAATTCAGGCTCTTAATGATGTAGTGCGGTATTTAAATGTCCATATTTTGGCAGGATTTACCTTTGCTCCCCTTCTTTTCTTGCTTTGTCCTGGCAAGTGTAAAGGTGAGAAAACTTGCTGCTGATAATGCAACTGCTGTGTATGTTGAGCCACTGTTGTCATGCCAGCCAGGTGCAAAAGCAGCTTTGCTACTGAGGGATCAGACAGGTGTTCGAAGTACATTCTGGACAGCAGCATAGCTCCTTTCTTGAGTCTCATTTGCTTTTGCTTTTTTGTTGAATGAATCCAAAATCATAAAATAAAGCTTTTATGTAATTTTGTGATTTTTAACTACTGTCTATATTTAAAATTTGTTGGAATCCAAAGAGGCAAGAATTGGATAGTTTATTTTTTTACTCGTGACCAGGTTCAAGTTGTTGGACTATTTTTCATTTCTAAGAACATCCTAAACCATAGAAAATTACATACCATTAAATGTCATAGTTCTAGACGGCATGCAAGAAAATAAGCAATCCAACAGTTTGAAAGGGAATATTATATGAAAATGCAGTAATTCTAAATGTTGTGCCCTGTTAAGGATAAAATGGAATATCAGTCCCAGGGTAGTTTACACTTAATTATAGGTTAAAAAAAATCTTTGAAACACTGTTCTGTTTCAAGGGCGGACTCTAGATATATTTTATAATGCGCAGTACAGTAGATGTAAAGAAGCTAAAACACCAATGTGGAATTCATGTTTCCAGATAACATTTCTATTAGTATATTCTTCTATAGAATGGCAAAATCAAATGCATAAACATAAAGCCTTAAATTGCTGATTTAGAGAAGATCTTTTGTCCAAAGTCTTAAGTCATAGCAAAGCATGTTTGAATACTTTCATCGAACACAAAATCTCAGAAAATGCATTTTTACATATTTGAGTTTGGAACATGGCAGTGATTTCTTGCTTTCATTATTATTATTCAGACCAATAAAACTTGGTAACTTTTTTCTTTTAAATTAAGCTGGTCTCAAATATTTGCAGGCTTTCCAGAGATCTATTTCATCAACATTTTTTAAATACCTGTATAGGTAATTATATCATGTTTCTTCATTGGATTTATAAAACTTGAAGCCATAAAAAAATATGAGTTCGGTGTGTATTGGGGAAAATAGCTAAAAGTCTAATCTTTTACCATTTAGACTTTGTTATTTCCTTGTATAAAGTTACAAATCTCTGCTCTTGTATCAGTGCCAGCTGTAATTATTTTTAATACAGTGGCTGCCTTCTATGTCTTCCTATTTTTGATAATGCAGATTGTTGGGGATTCTATAAGGAAGTAACTGATTAGAGGCAAATCCTGTTTTGCTTGTTTCTTCTTTTTCTTCCCTTTTCTCATCTAAGAACATATGCCAGTGTAACTTTGGGGGAAAAAATGAGGTCATGTTTGCCCTGAAAATAAAAAATTGAGAGCAAATTGGTTTAAAACATGTATATGAGTAAATGATGTTCACAGATAAATCAGCTAGATGCATTTTGTCTCTTGTTTGATTAATTTTAGAATAATGTTTTTTTCATTGATCTTTGGATTTCAGAAAACAGATGTAGGCTAAAGTGACTAGTGGCAGGTGGTAAGAAATAATGAAAAACTTAGAAATAATGAGGAAAATCAGGGCTAACTCCATTTCTCTGTTATGCTGGTAATCGTTTTGAATGGGAATTGATTTACCTCAGTGTTTAACAGTTTTTTTTTTATAATAACCAGTTGTCAAGCACTGATAGAGATGCAGAATTGGATGGGGGGAGTAGGGCAAAGTGGTCACCTTTGAACTGCAGTGCGTTTGTGTGTTTGGAACCCTCAGAGAACTCTGCATTCAAGGGTCTTTGAGGCTGACTTGCAAATTAACTAAAATTTTAAAGTAACTTTTTTTCCATTGTAAATATTTCTGTAAATACTATCAATTGGAAATTAGAACAGTAGAGTACTTTTCTGAATCCAATCCTATTTTTATTTTATACAGTATTTCTCAGCTGTGATCTTTGGAGCAAAAGCCAACGGCAGGAAAAAATAGTTTGTACCAGTTTCATGAAGTATGTCTTTGGGTTTTTGTAAATAATTTTAACTCAAATAAAATTGCTACTTTCAATATATATGTGTATATATATGTAGTCTTTAATATAATGTCTATAAGGTTGAACATTTCATTTATATAACATGGGCCATCCACAAAAATAATGTTCCCATTCAATAATGTTCCCATTCACTCCTTTCTCCCCCACCATGGAAAAATTTTGTGTTTTAGAGTTCTTTCTAAAATGTGAGTTGTTGTTTTTTTTATTTTTCCCCCATTTCCCTACTTTTAAAATATTCTGAGCATAATTTTTTGTTGTTGCTTGTTTTGTTTTGTTTTTAGGGCTAATCAAAACCTAGATGACAGATATTCATAGTAGCCTTAAAGGTCTGTTGAGTTTAGAGGTGGCTCTGCTGTAGTAGAGATGATGTGTGCTGATTAGTTATTCTCTCTTTGCTTTTGGCTGTTATATCTGGCAGCATGTCTTTCTCTGGTGGTTATTGTGCTCTCATGGCTCAAATTTATATAACTCTAGAAAGTTTCAAAATGCTTTTTTCTTGACTCTGTTTGAGTGGATAATGTATCATTAAACCATCTTGGAAAATGCAGAAACAGGCTTAGTAACTTGTACTTCAGGCATACAGCAGAATCATTTTAATCAGAGATAAGTAACTATCCCAGGTTTCTCATATTAACAGTATATAATTAACAGATAATTACCTATAAAGCAAAGGCAAACAGTAACCATCACCTTTTATGCTAATCCCTAGTTATTATATTAGATTCAAATTTATTTGTACTTTTTTGTTTGCTTTAAGTCTTCTTACCCTTTTGAATTCTTGCTGGTGTTCTCTTACCATTTCGTAAAGAACTGCAGTTCAGCCTCTCCCCATCAGTGGGCATTCAGTTCTTAGCTACCACAAAAGATTCTGCTGTGAGAGATGGCACCTGATTTTCCTGAGGTATACACGTAGCAGGAGCATGTCTAGGTCAGAGACTGGACATTTTATTGTAATTCCAAATTGCTTTACAGAATGACTCGATCAGTAGTCCAAAGCAGTGTATTCATGTGCTTGTCTTTGTGAAGCTTCTCTTTGTCCTCAACCATTGCTTGTGAAGTAAAAATGATTATGCTACTAACTCTAGACATCAGATTGTACCAAGTGCTCACAAACAGCTATAATAATAATAATAAAAATTAAAGTATACTAGAGTACATAGGAGAGTTCAAACAGTGTGACTTGAGATTTGGGAATATCAGGGAGCCTGGGAAGGCTTTGGGCAGATCTATTCATTTGGAAGGTTGTACTTTGCATTTTGCCAGAGCTGTTAATGGGTGAATTAAGGGAGATACAGAGTGAAATGGAAGATTGTTGGAAAAGCCATTCCAGTCATTCAGATGGGAAGGGTGGCAGAGGCAGTGAAAGGGACAAGTGCTTTAGTATAAATGAGCCATTACTGTGCAGGACTAAGCAGATGAGAGAAGTGTGGATCGTTTAGTGAAGTAGGTTTTAGAAAGTTACTTAAGAGAGGCATTTCGAGGGCCTGTGACATAGTGGCTTTGTGACTTCAGGTACGTGTGACGTTGGCACAGCAGTGCTTTGAAGTGGTAAGGAACTGAATGTGGATCCACTGTATAGACCTCCGTTCAAACCTGGCTTTCCTTGGGCCTTTGAATCTCACTGCACTCTCCAAATGAAACAAATAGTAGTCAGTGCCCAAAATGTAATTTTAGGTAATTTTTCCTTTAAAAAAAAAAGTGACAGTGTAGAATTAAGAGTTCTTGCCTGGAAAGGGTGGTTCCTTGAATGTGAAATATTTTGATAACTACATTTCAGTATAATTTTGTTCCTTTGAATTCCTATGTATTTGATGCATTTTAGAAAATTATTCTAAGAAAGAGATTTATAGACTTCACCCATACTGATGGCCCAAGGGGTCATGACACTAAAATTAAGAGCGCCTAGGATTTCTGATTAGGGAGCCTAGTAGTACTATCTGTGTAGGTGACCTTGGGCAAGTTGCTTAACTCGGGCCTTCAGTTTCTTCATCTTTTCTTGTACCTTCTCTTGGCAACATTCGGTGATGATCATACTCTTCAATCCCAAGTAGTTCTCCTTGTTGGATTCATAACTCTGAAATTCTCTTTCCTCCAGCCCTCTTCAACCTATTCTTAGCCTCACCTCGACTTCTAGTCCCAGCATCCCTCAAGTTCTACCAGGTTATCAGTTCCTGTTCATTTTCTTCCCCTCTCAGTCTTGACCTTAGAGTTAACCAATTAAATTATACATGCTGTCCTAAATGCTGAAATCCCACACCACTTTTTATGTATCACTAGCTCATAGCATGCCAACTAGAAATCACAATTCTTTGTCACAACTGAATCTCTTACAGTTCTGTTAATCTAATCTCAACTGGGCCCTCTGTGCTGCTGGCCATATTCTTGTCCTTTCCTAATTATCTCAGTTTCATTCTCCATAGCTCCTATTCCAAAACCCATTTCTCCTAAGGAATAGAGGAGAGACAGAGTGAAGGCACATACAGGAGAGAGAATAGAATGTTGTACGGGCAGAAGCAGTGAAAAAGGAAAAGAGGGAATAAGCCTCTTCATAGCACCTACCGTGTGCCAGGTGCTGTACTAAGCCATTTTAACAGATAATCTCATTTGATCCTCACAACAACTCTGCAAGGTGGGGTCTATTGTCCTTATTTTACAGTTGAGGAAAACTGAGGCCCAGGATCAC